TTATGCCCATGAGCTCAATAGTTACTCACACTGGTCCCCACAACCTTGCATAATGTCCTGTCACATCACAAATGATCTAGCACCTTGTTACTCACAAGGGTTTGCTGAGATGCAGAATGTATGACAAAGTTGCAATTTAGGCCATCCAGCTTTCCTGTCACATATGTGTGCTTGCCATTTTACACTTAGCTGTTGGGACTTTTGCAATGGGGGTAGGTGGGCGTCCCTCAGCACCAACCACTACTGGTTTCTCCGAGACTGACTTATTGGTAATATTCTTCTTACACTGGCTCTTCATATGTTTTTGTTCCCCAGTGCTCTATAGTTGTGCTTGTTGTCTGCTGACAACTGTCAAAGTATTTCCAGTGGTTGTCCCTTCAAGCTCATTGGCAGATACTCTGCTTTCTGCTCCTCTGTCCATCCATTCATTTCTGCCCGGAGCTCAAATTGTGCTCTATATGCTTCCCATGGTGCCTTCTCATCGAATTCCTGTTATACTATTGTACTTATCTGCCAATGAATCTAGTTTATAATGATCTTCATTCATAAAGTTTTTAACTTTTTGTTTAATGTAGTTTTACATGTAGCAATATTAGTTTGTGTATTTATCAATGACTTCCTTTCCCATTCCATCCAGTTTTCATTCACTTCCTTAGATAGAGCTAAATGCAATAAATACACTTTTTTTTTTCTTTCTCGGCTATGAAATTCCTTTTTTGTCAAATTACAATATTCAGTATCTTCTCTTTAGTCTTCTCAAGTTGATACTCCACTTCCTTATTTTTAATATTGCAATCCAGTTTTATGAATTTTGGCATTATCTTATTTCATTTACACCTCATTAAAAATGCTAGTTGTTAATGGCATTTTTTTAACTTCAGTCTTTGTCTTGCAAAACATTTGGCCATATATCCCGTTGCTGGATTCATTTTTTGAAAATTTTTTTAACACTTGTGTGATGTTCAACCTTAAAAACTAAATTTTTTTAAAAAACAATGATTATTTTATACACAATTGTATAAAAATGAGATTGTTTCCAGTCTCCAAATTACTAAAATAGTAACTTACTGTAAAAGGTTAAAAAGTGGTAAAAAAACCCGATGAGACTGGAAAACAATCTCATACATTCTACATGTTTCGATATATGCTCTTGCATGTTTTATAGCCCATTCAAACACAAAATATTCATACACTAAGATCATAAAGATGTGTTCAGATTAGGGATTTAGAATTTCTAAGATGGAGGTTATCCTTTATACTTACTGGCATTAATAATCAAAGGAATATGAATTAACTTGGGGCACCAGGACTAGCTAGGAAGATACACACAGAAGTTGTATTCCATTCTTGGTAAACAACATGTAGCACCTTTTTAACAAGTTAAAAACCATAAACATAAAGGTCAGTAGTAAAAGCCATTCACATGCAACACAATCAAGAAGGATCTCTGCTTGTAAAAAGTTGTCAGATAGAGCATGACCAGACATGGACTTTAATGATGTAATGAAGGTTCAAATCATTTAATATAATGTACTGAACCCTCTGTACTACTGATTTATATTGTTATCATAATTGTTGTAGCTATTAAGATGATAAAGTATTTCATTTGATTTTTGTAGTTTATAGTAGATCTGTCCATTTTACATATTCTTGTTTTAACTTTGAAGGATTAGATAATGTATTTAATAACATTTGAGATTTAGTACATGTGTTGAACTTTAATATACTTCAGTTTAATACAGTAGCTTGCATGATTTAGTATGTTTAGTTATTTTTTATTTGATAATAAGACTTAGAACATTGAGTGGTCTTTAACATGTATTGTTTTAATACAGTGGCTGGCATTATTTAATATGTGTAACTTACTAAAATATAAGACTTGGCTTATCTAGGGATTTTTAACACAGTAACTTGTATGATTTAATGTTTAATTATATCTAGTACACTTAATAATAAGACTTACAACATCTTGTGACCTTTAAAATATTTGATTTTTAACACAGTAGCTTGTATGATTTAATGTTTAATTATATCTAGTACACTTTATAATAAGACTTACCACATCTTGTGATCTTTAACACATTTGGTTTTATTGAAGTGGATTGAATGTTTTAAGATGTTCAATAGCCATTGTTTACTAAATTTACTTTGTACATCTGCAATTTTTTTGATTTTGTGACAATGTTTTGGTCTCCATGCTGGTGTTCTTCATCAGATCTAGAATGGAGCCCAGCAACGTAGTCTCAAAGAAAAACGTTAGGAGAAATCCACAATAAGCTTAGAACACATGTTGAATGCACTGTCTGAATCCACTTTAAAAGAAGTTTGATAACCATTACTATTTCTAGGTTTAATATGCATCAATGTTTGTGAGAACCTTTAAACTGCTATATGATATAGATCATTTAATGGTTTTGAGGGTATTATATATATTCACCTTTGAGAAACTGACATCTTTTATTTAACAGTTGCAGGAATTAGCTGTTGGTAAAATCCACAACCTATCGATTGTTGGGAAAGATGAAGATGATAATATTCTCCAGAAACCTCAAGAACAAAACCTAATCAACAAAAACCATGACAGCATCAACACCAATACATATGATTCTGTTCCTGAATTGTAAGAAAATAGCAGTTTAAAGTTTTTAGTGTACTTCTAATTAATAATTAGAGATTTAAAATTTTCATTTGAAATTTATAGTAAATATCTGTAAATGTTAAAAGAGTAGTTTACAGTTTTGTCTTCATAGGTACCTCTTCTTGTTACTAGACCAAATCCCTAAGAATTAAATGAATGTAGTTGTTAGAGTTATAACTTTTTAGTTGAAATGTGGCTGTATATTACTGGTCCACTAGAACACAGCCAAGACAGGTCACTTTGTAAAGGCTAGTTTTATATTCTTGGATATGGTAACATATGTGCATTGCATCATTGCAACTTCTGTAATGTTTTTCAGGCACGGGTGAAAGGTCAATAAAATATAAATAATGAATAAATATATATATATATATATATATATGTATAATGTTATGAGATTTAAGCTATTTAAACTAAACATTTGTGTTTTTGTGTTATAATTTGTTGTCATTCTAGAACGAGAAAAGGGTAATTTATATCTATTTCCCACAGTGATACAATAGTGAAAATAACACATAAAAAATAAAGTTTTTTCTAAAAAAAATGTTTGATAATTATTCAGAGGTTATAAAGATTTCGCATATGAAATTTGAAAATTTTTTGGTGCATAAACGTATTTTTAATCTTAAAATCCAAATTACTTTGCATGTTGTATAGTCAACATTCAAAAGCAAAAAAATGCATGAGAACAACATTACTTAAAAAAATCTGATATTTTGCATAAGAAAGCCTTTTAATGTGTACTAATAATCTGCAAAATTTCATGAAGATATGCATACTGTATTAAAAGTTATAGCATGACAATTATAACAAGCACAAAATGGTTACAAGTTCAGTCCCTGGGACTGAGCCCGTATTGTGAGAGTTAATAGACAATACTGTCTTGAGAATTTAGTTCTTATGAATCTCTCTGATTTAGTCTCATAAGAAAAGAAGGAAAAGCTTCTTTAAGGAGTAATACTTTTGTAATTGTATATATTACTGAATATTTAACATGTAGTACTGATGTTTCTGAAATAAGGAAAGTTCTTTCCTTATGGAGTTGCTCTCATGCCCTTAATAATCATGCAACTAAATTTCTGATGTTTTTGACACATTGCATATCCTATGTTAACTTATCCAGAGTTCTCTAATCTTGCACTTCCCACATGTTGAGTATGCTGTATAAAAATTATTTTGGAGCCTCACTGTATCATTACAGTCCATGTCACTATGTTTTGTCAAATTCTATCTGACAATAGCATCGTCACGATATTCCTACAGCATAGTTTCCATTGCAAAAAGCTCTGTCATAAAACTTCATGTTGAAAGCACACCCATCCTCCCTGCAGGATTTCCATAAGCCACCTAGTGTCCAAAGAACAATGGTTTTCAATAATCCATTTCAACAGTTCAATTGCATAAAAATGTAGAGGCAATGGACTCTGAGGTATAACTGGTATATCTTCATGTAGAATAACATTAATACTTGTTTCATTCCCTAGCTGCTTGAGGTATATGACAGTTGAATGAATATATTGTGGAAAAAACTTGTGTTCACATGACTTATGTTGGTTTTCCAGACTGAGAAATATTTTGCAAATAAAAAACTATTTAAAGTCGAAGCCAGTTTTCATGTGATGACAAAGACATTGCTATTGTGTACCACACTCATTGTATTGAAAAGTTTGACTGAGCAAAATAATTGGTAAGGTGATTCTGAATGGAAAAGCCAATATGCAATATGGATTCCTTTAATAAAGGCCTTTCTAACAAGATGAGATTTGTAGCATTTGATAGAGAAATTTGGGAGAAAAGTTTCGGACAGATAAATGCAAGCGTATTATTTATATAGATACTGTTGTCTGAGACACATGAATGGCTTTTCCCACTAACTTTTGTGTTTATGGATTCTCACCTGTTACAGGATGCTGCACTATCTTTACCATGGTTAGTTATGGCTTTTTACACATCTCTTTATAAGTGGTCTTGGTGCCAAAGTTACTCCACATTCCTTTGTTTACCAATGCTCTTAAGTACAAAAGATGTTTCCATCTTTGAAATTCTAAATACCTGATCTGAACACATTTTATGGTCTGAATTGTATGAATATTTTGCATCTGAAGCGGCTGTTAATACTCTTTCCAGAAGTGATTAGTTTTTTATGGCATTGTACTAATTACAAAACTTAAAAGAATATCAAAATGTAGTTCTCATATATTCTACAGCAACTTTATGCTATATTTTTTATCATGTCACTTGCTGACTTGCATATTGAAAGTTGTTTTAATTTAATGCAGTCAATCCTCTGTGTAAACTTGTTTTCCCACTGTAATAGAGACTTTCTTGTTGATAGTTATGCTAGTAACTTTGTTCACTAAAAATTCTGAAGTCATCATTAACTACTTCTGCAGATGACTTTATCATTAGATTCATTTGGTGGCAAACAAAGTCTGATTATGAATCATACAGCCATGGCAATAATTGTAAACATCTTTAATGAACAATTCAGCAAATCTATGATACTATTGAACGGAACAATTTATAGTATAAGTAATAACATTAAAATACAATGAATACTATTAAGAAATTATTGGAAAGAGGTATTTGAATGAAACAAGGGGAAAAAAAAGAGTTGGAATTTTTGTTAAGGCTTGGATTTTCATTAATAGTATGTAGACTTTCTTTTATCAAAAGGTTGTAATCATTATAACATAAGTTAGAATTGAAAACTTTTCTAAGGAAATGATGTGATGATGTTTTGTTGTAAGAATATATAGGAGAGTTAGATGGATTTTGAAGTTTAAGTCCAGTTCTGTGTGAAACTCCCATTTGTTCCGAGGCTCTTGTTTGTAAATGGTGAGAAGTCTTGTCTATGTAGATGGCTTTACAACTAACATATATGACCTTTGAATGTAATAGTGGAGGTAAAATGTCTAGTTCTAAAAAAGTTTGTGATATAAAGTGATGATTTAAAGATGTTAATCTAGGGGTAGAAAGACTTGAGTTGCTTATTGAGAAGCATACCAGCAGAAAGTGAGTAGAGTATTAGCATTTCATCTTACTTCTTTATAAGATGACCAGCAAGTGGTGTATGTCCTCTAGCCTTCCTCCCTTGACTAATATATAGTTGTTGTTAGTTACTTCTTTCCTATTAACCCTATCGCACCAGGTACCCTTTACTGTGCGTGACACAAGGTTTTAGTGTCTTACATTCAAAATTTTATTATACTACTTTTTGTTTATGTTATACCAACTAGTATAGCATAAAAGCTTAGCTAATAATACATATTTTAATAGTATACAAGTTTTAAGTACTTAATTCTACAAGACAATATTAATAAAATCCTGAATTTCTCCTAGTGTGACCCATGTGACAAATTTTCTCTTAGCATGTCATCATCTCTATTTTATCCACCAACCTCGAAAAAGTACAAAATTAAACATAAATTACTCTCTATAAAAATCGCTATTGCTCAGACAAACTATAATTTTTATAGCCCTCCTGCCATACTCACCTGTCACATTCTCTCTTTCACAATTCATTGATAGTTCTCTTTTACGTTTCATTATATATTACCTATAACCAATAGAAATTCAAGGTTTTCATCTATCAAATGACATATTTTATAATGTTATGTTCTGAACAGAATATCGTTAATTAGATTCGTTCCCGTGGGAAAGTTAACGACTAGCTTGGATGAATTTGTAACGGTTCTTGTCGCATAGTTAGAAAACTAGGAAAATTTTTAGAGGTAAGTGAATTTGTCTATTTTTTGCATGTTATTAGTCTATATTCTTTGGTGCATTATTTAATTAAATAAAAATTATTAAGTGCATTACTATCTATAGTATAAATAATTAGGGTTAACTTTCTTAGAAACCAGGCTGCAAGAAAAAAAGAAGATTGGTTAAGTATTTTATTTCTTCATTTTCATATTTATTCTTTATTTATTATTATAAAAGTAACTAAAATCTAAAAATATGGATCTTTTTAAGTTATTTAAGACTAGGTAAAATAAGTAATAATAATGATATAATTTAAATGGTTCACAAGGCAGCTCATGGGTAATTTAATTTGATAGCGTAACATGAGTTGCACATTCCCTGAGTGGTTTATAACTTATAATGCCATGGATAGTAGTTAGACACAAAGAAGAAAAGGGTAATTTAGATTTATTTCGTTTTTTGGGGTGGAGGGTTATGAGGTCAGTCAAATTATATAGAGTTAGGGTAGAGAAAATAGCAGATAAAATATAAAGTTTTATTGAAAGAAACGTTTGAAATGCATTTAGGAGGTTTTAGGGACTACACAAAGGGAATTTGAGACTTTTGAGCTGAGGAAAGTGACTTTTAATTTTAACATGAAAATTACTTTGTGCATGGACTATTCAAAACAAATACTCAATATGTTTATCGACAAATCTTTATTTTTATCATATTACAAATACTTCACTAAAAATATGATTTTTTGTATTTGAAAGACTTATAATATTGTTGCGTATCTGCTTGTTTAATAATTTCCCGTAAAAATTCTTTCCGAGAAACTTCAGCGATATAAGTCCTTTCTTAATTAAAACTAGTTTATTCTTTCTCGTTACAAACTTTGTAATACACTTAATTTCCACAGTCACTTTAAACTTAACTACTTATATAAACACACTCTATAATTCACAGCAATTCACACACTTCACTTACGGTGCCGACTGCTCGCTTGACTCGATTATCTCCATTATTTTCCTTCAATCTATCTCCGGCTTATATTACTAAAAAAGAGGGCATCTAGTAAATGCTGGGACTTTCGTGAGGTTGCCTGCTAAGTCACGATCCTTCTAGAAACTCCGGTGCGCATGCTCCCAGCATAGCGTGACTTCCACTGTGGTAATAATATGAACAGAAAGACTGTCAAATTTTGTGGAGATATATGCACTATATTGAAAGATAGAAGTATTAAAGCTACAAAGACTTTAAATGAGTACAAAGAGGTCACGTAGTAAGTCAAATTGACCAGCCTGTGTTGAGAGAGTTAACCTTACTTGGGTAGCCAAGCGAAGACGTAAGGAAGTAGGTCTTCTTGACCCACTCATTGACTTTTCATAACATACTTACCTCTTCTCAAACTACAGCTATTACTTGACTGCTAGAATTTTCTTCCTTTGCCCATCTAAGCATTGGTCTTACTTTCTCTCACCTGCTCCTGTCTTTTATACCCCACTTAATTGCCAATCTTTATTGTGACACTCTCCAGCTAAGTCAAAGTGCCCTCTATCCTGGTACTGTATATCAGCATCTCATTCAGATAATGTTATCACTTTTTTTCAACAAGGCATTGAGGAACAGGTTTCTATGTACTGTGACAATTTGAGCATTCTTCGTGTTACCCAGTTATTTATTGATGTTGCCCATTTGCATTCATCCCTGTTGTTGTTGGACTCTCAACTTCCCTCAGCTCCTACAGGTGGTCATGGTTCTTCCCTATTTGAGTGTCCCGCTCCCTGATATCAGCCCCTTGATCCATTGGTACCCAGAACAGATTCTGCCCATATCCAAGATTCTCCTCTGCTCGGTTAACATGTAGCCAGCAGTGGTAGTGACTACACAATGCCTGTGGAGTTTTGGGAGGCTTATCTGTGAGAATTTCTGGACATATGGAGCACCTTTACCATGGATCCATGAATGCTATAGGTTCTGGCATCAGGACTGATCATTCAGTTCACATCTCCACCTCCATTATCCCTCCAACCTGTTGTGTTTCTGCCTCCCACAGTACCTCACATTTTGGAATGTCATTCCCAGGCTATCAGAGATTTGTTGGTTAAAGAGCAGTGGAGAGAGTTGACCCAGCTCTTCCAGGGTTTTATTCCCATCTGTTTGTTGTACCCAAGAAGACGGGATATTGACATCTGGTCATCGATCTTTCTTGTTTCAACCAATTCTTAGATCCACCCAGGTTCACGATAGAGTCATTCCTCACTCTATATTGGCATTTTTCTCTAGGACTGTGGATGACCAAGTTTGGTGTCGCTGACACCTATCTACACATTCCCATAGTGAAGTTATCCCACCACTGGCTGTCCAAAAAGAAAATGGCAGCCATGGAAGGGTATTATGTGGCTCGCACTAACTCCTTTTGAGGTGATAGACAATGACTTTTTATTCATTGGGATTCTTCAGTTTCCTGGGATTTATCCTCATTTACCTTGACGAGGTGGGTACAAAAATTCTGGGCTCTCTTTGAAGGCAAAGAGACTTCTGTGAGTCACATCTAATCAGATTTGTCACATTTCTATACCCTTAGCAGTTGCCCGCTGAAAGACATTGAACGGACTGATATGTGAACCTCTCCAAATTCTTTTATCTTACATTATTTGCATAATCTGGCATTATTTTCTTCTCAGGGTTTTTGACTACTCCCTGTAGCTATCTTAACCACATCTGCTAGATTATAAGGAGGGGTGAGTATTTTTATTGCTACTCTTGTCTTGTAGGTGTGCCTTATCAAACTAATTCTGCACTAGCAACTACTAACTCAATACCTTTTTTCTAGGTTGCAACAGGCTCTGTAGAAATTTTGACCAGGTGGAATTACTGTACTATTCTGGACCACCACACATAGACTATCATGAGTAAAGCGTAAAGGGAGCCTACCCTTCCTTGCTGATCATTGGATTGAATAAATCGGGGTCAGTTTGCTTTTTAAAATGTAGGGAACATGGTTCAACCATTGCACTGTTTCCAGAACACTGTTCCTCAGGGCCCCCCCCAAAGAGAAAAAGATTCTACTAGTAGAGCTAGGGATGGTGGACAGAGGTTATCCCTCCAGAGTGTTAGAATGAATTTCCTCTACTCTTGGAGAAAAGGGTGAAATTGGGGGCCATCCTACCCGGGGCCCTAGATGTTTTTTCCATGATCTTGGTAGAAGAGGCACCATCCCATGTGGAAACCTACTCATAATACTGGTTCAGATTTGATGCTTGGTTATCTGGTTGCATTGAGCGTGGCCCTTGTATTTGATCAATATTGGTTCAGTACATTGTTCTTGGAAAAGGGTCCATTGTCTCCTTATAATTCTGAAGGCAGAGTGGACCCATCCCTGGTCATTGGTTGAGCACAGTTTCTTCTACATCCTCCCCATAATTCTGGAGACAAGAAGAATTTACCTTGTCCACTCAGTTGGAGAGTGATGACGTGTGTTCATAATTCCAGAATGGATGAATTCTGTTTCCTCAGGTTGAGTATGGCATATAGGATCCTGTCATTCCAAGTTTGGAGTGTTGCCTTCTGGACTTCTTCAGGTTGAGGAGAAGGTTTGTCCACTGCAGTGTTGCTTACCTTCTCATCATGATTCCGGTTACTCAGAATGTATCACTTTATGATAACAGGTTGGGGTCTCTCACAACTATATATATATATTGCGGTCCAGATGCCCTACCCATCAACGTGGGATATAGGGACCATGGCCTTATAATTCCAACCCTGAATACTGGAACTATATGGTTGGGGCCTGACCAGTAGTGATGACAGATCATATAAAATTCCATCCACAGTACATGAATTACGTTCTGGGTGAAGAGCATACCTATTCTGGATGTAATGCAGTTCCCCCACTAGGGTGCTAATCTTCTATTGGAACAACCATGATCTATGCATTCTGTATGGATAATGCTCTTACCAACCCCTCCACCTTATTGATGTGAGATTATGGGAAGTAATTATGTTTTGTAAATTAACATTTTCTTAAATCAAAAATGTATTTCCAATAATACTTGCCTTTTCTCACACTCTTCTGCCCTTCCTCCCCACTAACAACTGGTGTTAGAGATTGTGGATTGAGCTAGTTGAAAAAAGTGATAACACTATCTAAAGGAGGTAGTTATATACAGTACCAGGATAGAGGGCGCATTGATGTAGGTGGAGAGTGTCACGAGACAGATATCACTAAGGACAATTAAGTTGGGTATAAAAGTCTGGAGCAAGCAAGAAAAAACCAGACTAATGCTTAGATGGGCAAAGGAAGAAACCTGAGCAGTCGAGTGTTAGCTGTTATGTGAGAAGGAGATAAGTATTATTGGAAATATAATTTCAATTTAAGAAAATGTTAGCTTTTTGTACACCACCCTTCTGTGTAGTTCACTCGGAGAATTCCATAGTGGTAGTTTACATCTAAAATTAGGGCAGTAATCATTCTTGTAGCCTTTTGTTTGCAGCAGTTTAATTTTTTCCTTGCCCCCCCCCCCTAAAAATTGGAGTTTGATACCAATAGTGAGCACATCACAGATAGCCCATTGTGTAGCTTAATAGTAAACAAACAAATAAAATATTTCTGGCTTCATTCTTATCTTATTTTCACCTTTGAGTTAGTGACATTCCTGATGGTATGGACATTTTGGTAGACTATCTTGAGATTGTTTGCTTCTTCTTATAGAGTAGACTTTCCACCCTTTTGGTTTTTCATTGTCTATATGAATAACTGGGCTGTCTGATGATTGATGCCAATGCAATGTTAGCCACCATCTTTTTATACTCTACTGGACTTAAAATCCAGATCCATGTTCCCTGGCAGCTGATGCTCTGAGACAGTCTTGGGAAAACTTCTTATTTTATACCCGCTTATTTTCTGCCATCTTTCTCGGGTACCTGCCAAGATCAGTTACATGAATTGCTAGGTTCTTCTTGGCCAACTGAGTTGTAGTTTCACTTATCTTCTACAGCCACGTCAGACATTTTTTTTTTTCACATTGATGTTAGATGACAGCTGGCTGTTGTTTGGTTCTTTGTCTGGAAAATTGATGGCTTGAACGTTAGCCCATTTTTTCATATGCTTTTCTCTGACTGTGTCAGTCTTGTTGGGCTAACTTCTGGAGATGATACATTAAACATACCTTCTTTACCTCAACTCCAAAAATTACTTCTTTCTTTATTTGTTTCATAATCATGGGTTATTAACTTATTCCACAGCTGATTACAGAACTGCATTCTCTGCCACCTTCAGATGTCTCAGAAGCCATCAATTTTGTTTGTCCCTCTTGTTCAAAGGCCTTTTCCAAGTCTTTTGTATTCAGTGACCCCAAGTTCCTAGACATAATCCTACAACTTCAACTATGTCAGGAAAGCGAAGTATATATATACGTCCTGGTGCAGTAAGTCGTGTGGGTAAATTGATGCATGCTCTACATGGTGTCAAGAATTTTAATCACATGGTTCTTGATAGTATGAGAACAATTCTTATTTCAGAGGTAACTACCTGTTTGAAATTAATTCTAAAAATTTAAAACCTGTATGGTTATGAAAGTATTCTGTGTCAAATAATCTTTTCTTTCTGTCAGATTCAAGTAAAACGTTAAAAAACATTTGTAATCTATTCAGGAAACTAAATAATTGCCTCTGTGTTCAATAAGTTATATTATACTCATTGTGTACTTAGCACATAAAATCATTGTTATTAACTATTTATCATGTTAGTAATTACTCTTTGAATGCCTGAAAGAGAATAAGTAATAATGGATTCAGCAGATTAATTAATTTATCTGTGTGATAAGCTAATTTCCTGTTTACTTTGTTAAAGTGTTTCAACAATCCTACAGAAAGAGTCAAGATAGGAGCTGCTTATCAGTAATTAATAAATACTAGAAAAGCAGACTTTCTACATACATCAGAATATGAAAGAGATGCAAAATACAGTTGTTGAACTGTTTATTTTTTGAAATATTTACTGTCTTTGTTGAGTATGGCTGGAAATATATTGTGTACTATAGTCAGTATGATTTGTAACTTATATGTAGATTTTGTTTAGGAACTATTAATAATGAATTCATCAGGAGAATTAATTATTATCTGAAAGTTTGACATAGATAAGTTTTGAAGTTCTTGGCATTGTAAACATTATGTTTGTCCATAGCTACTTTGCTATGTATAGCTATAAACCTCAAAAAGATGATGAGCTGGAACTGAGGAAGAATGACATTTACACAGTCAGCGAGAAATGTCAAGATGGATGGTATAAAGGAACGTCTCTTCGCACTGGTCGCAGTGGAGTTTTCCCAGGAAATTACATTCAGAACTTTCAGTATGTACTTAGCAGATTAGCATTAGCTGTTACATAGATGGACTTAGTTTATTAAAACGGTTTAGTATGATTTAAAAAATACTTCATCAATCATCTTAGAAAAGTTAAGTGAAGAAAGCCTAATTGCAATAATGGTTAATAAATACCATAGTGAGTACGTTTATCAAGATGATTGTTGTCAGTCAGTTGGTTTGTAAAGTTTCTAGTTTTACAGAGCACTTGAAAAAGTGCATAGCATATATTTCACAAAGAATTGTCAATTGGCTATACTCCACCACTGTTTTATTAAAAGCATGCTGAAATTAAAATTTAGGTTATGTTGTTCTTGTTAAGTCTTATTTTAAATACAAATTTTGGCTATTAAAGTTATTTAACCATAGCAAATATTATAGTAACATAAACTATTTCAAATGCACATTAATTTAATTTTAATTTGTTGTGGGAAGCACAAAATATAAAAAGAAAAGAATGTATATAGTTTATCCAAGAACTAAACATTTGTATACTTGGCACTGTAATCTAATATATGACTCACTGAAATAATTAATTACATTTCCAAAACATACTTATCTCCTCTCACACTTATAGCTATTATTCGACTCATCTAAGCATTGGTCTGATTTTTTCTCGCTTGCTCCAGTCTTTTATACCATACTCAATTGCCCTTGGCGATATTTATCTTGTGACACTCTCCACCTATGTCAATGTACACTCTATCCTGGTACTGTATATAAGCACCTCATTCATATAATGTTATCAGTTTTTCTTAACAAAGCATCAATAACGGGTTTCCCAGTATTATGATCATTTGGAGATACTTTGAATGTTATCTGTGTTATTTAGTTAATTTTCATGATATTAATATTAGAAATTATTTTTTAAAATTCCGATTGCCAAGCTGATTTTGTGGTATGAATTTTTGAATTATAATTTCTGGCATGGAGGCATATCAGGTCTCTCCTATCCCACCTCTATTATCTAGTGTCGCACAACAATGGGGAGAGGTCACTTTTGGTTGAGACTGTCAGTGATCTTATTTGTAATGAGATGGAGACATATATTCAATACTGTGGTGTTCCTCCAGGGGTCTCTGAGGCTGCAATTGAGGGTGATCCTCAACATTCTAAAGAGAATTTAGATTTGCTTTTTCTGGTGCTGTGTTTTAGTCTGTTGGCTTTTCAATCCCCCTTTGGGACAGTGATGAGTTTACAGACTTGCAATTCTTGAATCTGGGGTTTGATTCCCTACAGTGGACAGATAGCCCAGTGTTGCTTTGCTCTAACAAAACAAACTTACCTGACCAAATGTTGTTCCAATCAATGGTAATGGTCTTTAAATGACCTATACAAACTAAAAGGAGGCCACTTTGGGATAAGTAGCCTTTGATATGTTTTCTTCTTTTGGTTCATCAAGAGTGTGACGTTTTGGGTCTTTCCCCAGTTGCTTTTGAGTCTGCACTTAATGGCTGAAAGGTCTGGGAGCAAATTTTTAGTTTTCTCTCCATCCACAGACATTGTGGTTCATGTGGGAGGTTTGCTTCTCAGTTATGTGAAGGAACAGTTATATCTCATCTGACACGGTTGTCGGAACTTCATGATTTAGCCTAACAACACCAAGTGGAAGCATTTTCCAACCCTGAAATCAGAGTTTGTAGTTAATCTGAATAGATCAATGTCCCCTGATGAGACAGGATAAGTCTATGAACTTACAACTCTAAAATCCAACATTTTGTTTTCCTTTTACTTGACTTTGTTGGAAGATTCTCAGGATCATCACTTCATTGATGATGACCCGGATCCATTGTTAGCATGCACGTTAGTTCAATTGTCAGCTTATACATTCATTCCTGTTGTTGTTGGAGTCTCAAATTTCATTGGCTCCTATTTGTGGGTCTTGATATCAACTCCTCAGTACATTGGTACCCAGAATAGATCCTGTCTATATCCAATGGTTCTGCTTCTCAGTCGATTTACTGCCAGTGGCATTGGTGGTTATTCCTTCAGGATCTGTGGGGGTCAGTACTGAGAACTTTGGGCCTGTGGTAATCTTAACCATGGATCAAGGAGCACTACAGGTCTTTGAGTCAGGATTAGTCATCCAGTTCTCATCTTCACCACTATTATCCACCCAACCTGTAGTTTTTCTATCTTCCGCAAATCCTTGGGATTTGGAACTTAGTTCTAGGACTATCAGATTTTTGGTCTGGGGGTAGTGAGTGAGTTGTGGTAGTTCTTCTAAGGTTTTATTCCTATTGGTTGTTGGGTCTCAGAAGATGGGAGATTGGTGTCCAGTCATTGATCTTTCACAAGTTACTCAATCTGACTTGAAATTTTTTACTGGGATTGTGGATGTCCAAGTTTGTTGTAGTCAGCTCACATTGCCATAGTGGTGGTGTCTCGCCACCATCAGCATTTTTTGTGCACAAGGTTCAAGTACTGCAGTTCTGGGTTTTTACTTTTGAACTCTCATCGGCTTCACTTGGGTTCTGCCGTATCGTACCAGTTTTATTTCTTGTCACCTCCATTCATTGAACTGTGCACACAACATTTCATAGACAACTGGTTACTGCAGGCACCATTTCATCAATTGTCAAAACATTCCAAGGCAGGCTTCAATCTTAGGGCTTAGACATCTATTCTTGCTCCAATTCAATATGTCATTTGTCTGAGTATTTTTTCTTTTTCATCTCATCTTTGAGTCTGGCTCAACTGACTCTTATTGGGCTCAAAGGAAGCCTGATTCTTACTCACCTCTCCTTCTCCCACTGCCCAGATGGTTCTTTCTCTTCTGGGAATGTGGGCATTACTCAAGTCCTTCATTCTTTGGGATGAAAGCACAAGAGATCCTTTTAATGGTCTTTATGCAACCAAGGGATGTTATCGATTCATTGGATTCCACAGTTTCCTTAATCAGGATCACTCTTTGATCTCAAGGGGTTGTTAAGTAAGGACACTACTAAGATATGGGTTCTTTTACTGCCACCTCGTCCAGAGTTCCATCTTTTCATGAATGCTTTGCTTCAGGAATGGGGTGTATATACCATCAGTCAGGAATTCCAAGGTCTATGTTTGGAGGAAGAGGCTTACCTACACAATGTTTTAGTCCTTCATACTCTTCAAAAGATGGCTTATTTAGGGGAAAATCGTCAGGCTGTGGTGGTGTCTTGTGTTTCATATCGAGGAGGTACTTGGTCATGTTCAGTGAGAGTCTTGAAGGTTTTATTGCCTGCACTAATGCCTTTAGAAATGCTAGACACCGACTTTTTACTCTGGGCTCTCTTTGAAGGCAAGGATTTTTCTGTGACTCATGTCTAATCAGATTTGTCACATTTCTATTTCCATAGCAGCCTGGTTGAATTGCCTGCTGGAGGACAATTGTGAAGACTAGTATGTGGACCTCCCCAATAATTTTATCTCATATTATTTGCATGATCTGGCAGTATCATCATCAGAGGGTTTTGCCTATCCCCTGTAGCTATTTTAGCCATTTATGTTTAGATTATACAGAGGGGTGAGTATTTTCATTTGTACCTTTCTGCCTCCCTTACCTCATTTTCACAGATCCCACTCTGTGGCAAATGTTGCCCAGGCAGGTGTGCTTTTAGCAAACTAATTCCTCACTAGCAACCATTAACACAATATACTTTATCTATGTAGAAATGAAGTGTTCCGTAAGACCACCTAGAGGCTGACTGGCTGCTATTACTGTACTATGCTGTACCACCACTCGTGGACTATCATGAGTAAAGCATAAGGGGATCTAGCCCATCCCTGCTGATTATTGTATTGAATAAATTGAGGTCAGTTTGCTTTTTAAAACTTGGGGACCTTGGTTTTCTTATTGCACTGTTTCCAGGGCACTGTTCCTCAGGACTCCCCAATATGCATTACCTCCCAGATTCTCCTAGTACAGCTAGGGAGTCCTTACTACACCCAGTTTTCAGTCACTGGGGTGGTGAACAGAGGCTTTTCCTCCAGAGTGTTAGAGTGAATTCTTCCACTCTTGGAGAAGAGGGTGAAATTGATGGTCCTCCTACCTGGGTCCCTGGATGTTTTTCCCAGATGTCAGTAGGAGTGGCATGAGCCTGTGTGGGAGCTTGGCTATTTGGTTTGGTTGAGCGTGGCCCTTGTTTTTGATCAATATTGTTCAGTATGTTGTTCAAGGAAGAGGATCCATTGTCTCCTCCTAATCCCAAATGCAGAGTGGTCCCATTCTGGGTCCTTGGTTGAGCTCAGTTGTTCCATGTCCTCCCCATAATCCTGGGAACAAGCGGAATTTACCTTGCCCACATGGTTAAGGAGTGAGGATGAGTGTTCATAATTCCATACCGGATGAGTTCTCTTTCCTCAGGTTGAGTAAGGCATACATGATCGCATCATTCTGATTCTGGGGTGTTGCTTTTGGAATTTTTCATGTTAAAGAGAAGGTTTGACCACTTCAGTGTTGTTTAATTTCTCCTCATGATTCCATTGATTTGGAATGCATCACTCTGTGGCTAGAGGTTAAAGGTTGGAATCCATGCATAAGTATAATGTATATGTAGTTTGCTGTCCAATTGCTCTACCCACCAATATAGGATATAGGGAACATGGCCCTTTAATTCCAACCCCAAGTAGTGGAACCTTGGCTATCTTATTGGGGCGTGGTCTCTAGTGTTGTTAAATCAGGTAAAATTCTATCCATAATACAGGAATTAAGTTCTGGGTGAAGAGCATACCTATTTTGTATGTAGTGTGGTTCCCCCACTAGGGTGCCAATCTTCTATTAACACACCCATGATCTATGCACATACTTTCTTTATGGATAATGCCCTCACTGGCCCTCCACCTTGTCAATGTGGGATTCTAGCTATAAGTGTGAGTAGAGGTAAGTATATTTTGGAAGTTAACATTTTGTTAAATCAATTAAGATTATTTGTGATGTCAACACAGACAATACATTATTTAGGGTTTTTGTTGTAAACTGTTGTTAAGTTAGTATTATATGTGTACATCAAGACAGACAGTACATTATTTAGGGTTTTTGTTGTAAACTATTGTAAAGTTAGTATTGTATGTGTACATCAAGACAGACAATACATTATTTAGGGTTTTTGTTGTAAACTATTGTAAAGTTAGTATTATATGTGTACATCAAGACAGACAATACATTATTTAGGGTTTTTGTTGTAAACTATTGTAAAGTTAGTATTATATGTGTACATCAAGACAGACAATACATTATTTAGGGTTTTTGTTGTAAACTATTGTAAAGTTAGTATTATATGTGTACATCAAGACAGACAGTACATTATTTAGGGTTTTTGTTGTAAACTATTGTAAAGTTAGTATTGTATGTGTACATCAAGACAGACAATACATTATTTAGGGTTTATGTTGTAAACTATTGTAAAGTTAGTATTGTATGTGTACATCAAGACAGACAGTACATTATTTAGGGTTTATGTTGTAAACTATTGTAAAGTTAGTATTGTACGTGTACATCATAACAGACAATACATTATTTAGGGTTTATGTTGTAAACTATTGTAAAGTTAGTATTATATGTGTACATCAAGACAGACAGTACATCATTAGGATTTTTGTTTTTGTGAAAGGTATGTGTGTATTTTCATACAGACTGTTATTTGGGATTTCATTTATTTTAAACTGATAACTAATGGCTTCTGCTGTGTTTCTAGAGAGAGAGTATATTATCTCCAATTTATTTGAAGAAGAAATTCTGTTTTCATACTGATACTAAAGCTGCTGGATGTTTCTTATTACATCTTAAAATGTTTTGTCTGTTCAAGTGATTGTAAATATTATGGTACTTATTAAACTTGGATAAGATGTTTTTGTGTTAACAGATATTGCAGACATAATACCTGTTGTGGACAGTAAGAATAAGGTTTGTGATAAACACAACCAGTGTAGATACAGATAGCTGTTCCTATGATGAATTCTCCTTAGGACCTTCTAAGAAGAGAATTGCTTATATGTAATTGTATTAGTAGAATGTGTGCCTATAATTAATTTAAAATATACTTTTGTAAAATAATTCTGATTTTAGGCCATCTGTCATACAAGTTCAATTCCAACAAGCATCATCATCTGTTGCTAACATCAGGTCAGCTGCTGTACATCCCACGCTTTCCCATCCTACTTCAAGTGTATTTAGCTATCCTGTACATTGCACTAGTGATCCAACACTTATGCTAGATAATGAAATATCCCCACCTCCACAACATGTACCAGGATCTTCCTCATCTTTTCTCCCTTCCTATAATGTAAGTACATATTGTAACTCTAGTCTCCTAGAACGTTTTATAATTCTTTCTGTACAAGATTGTTTTGTTATTGTGTTCTTTACTCTAAACCTCTGTTCATCTCACCTTTCTCTGATATTTGTAAAAAATCATTACTTTATTAACATCTGTAATACCTTTCCTGTTATTTTGGCTCTTCTAAATGCAACTTGTACTTGTCATATTTTAAATGATTGCATGCTAGTATAGAAACGAGAATGTTACATGTTATTGCTTCACCTTCTGCATATTGTAATGCTGTGCTTTATGTAAGCATTATTAGTTAGTAGCATATAGCCAATCAAAAATGAGGGGGCAAGTACTACCACCCCACCCCATAGTATATCCTAACCTCACATTTCATAGCTAAATGAAATAAATAAATTTTGAGAAATCAAGCATGACCAACAAAGAGGCAGAAAAGTGCGGTCGAGGCAGTCAAACGTCGATAAATTCCTTTGTGAGCCAATCAAAATTAAGATCATTCATGAAATGAATTCGTGGCATATTCATAGAATAATTATTGGTAAAAATTCAGATTAACAACTTCTAATATATAGAAAAGCCAGTGTGTTTCAGTAACATTACGTTCCAACAATGGCTTTTATGTCATGTTGCTTAGCAAATAAGTATAATGAGTGTTGGAATAATAAGCCTAAAGTAAAGACATAGCATGGGATCACCTAGCCTACAGCCAAGTGCATAAAATTTATCATGAAAGTAAAAATATTGATTCAATTTTAAACTTAATCTTTTCTGAATTAGGCTATTTTGTGTTATATCACCAACATTTTGCATAAAAACAAACCTCTTTAATCAACGAAGACTCTAAATTAAGAAATCAACAAATATTTTTCCACTTTTGTTGTCTATACATTTCATTTTATACTTTATGTACATAGACTAACAACAATATTAGAGTATACTTTGGTGTTTTTTTTATAACACATCTTCACTATTAATAAATAAAAATGTCAGTTATGCATTTTGTTTTGATAACACACCTTCACTACGAATAATTAGTCAACAGTGTGTTTACAAAAACAACAAAGCCATTGCGTCAAAGAAAGTCTGGAAGCCACATTCCATAGCACCATGTGGGCCATGAAATCTTCCTACCAACTTCCTTTTATTATTGTTAGTGAAGATATGTTATCAAAACAAAACCCACTATTGATCTCCTTTAAATATTATTGATGAAGTTGTGTTATCAAAACTAAACCCACTTTTGATCTTCTTTAATTATTGTTAGTGAAGATGCATTATCAAAACAAAACCCACTACTGACTTCCTTTGGTTATTGTTACTGAAGATATGTTATCAAAACAAAACCCACTACTGATCTCCATTAATTACTATAGTGAAGATGTGGTATTAAAACAAACTTATAACTGCTTACCTTTATTTATCATTAGTGAAAGTGTGTTATCAAAACAAAACCCACTATTGATGTCCTTTAAATATTATTGATGAAGTTGTGTTATCAAAACTAAACCCACTTTTGACCTCCTTTAATTATTGTTAGTGAAGATGCATTATCAAAACAAAACCCACTATTGATGTCCTTTACATATTATTGATGAAGTTGTGTTATCAAAACTAAACCCACTTTTGACCTCCTTTAATTATTGTTAGTGAAGATGCATTATCAAAACAAAACCCACTATTGATGTCCTTTACATATTATTG